ATTGAAAGCTAGAAGTCAGATCACATTCAGAAAGTATAAAGATGCTATTTAGTCTGTGTATACCAGTGCATGGGACAAGTAGCCTTCATGCCTTATGCTCACATCAAGCACACTTGCACACAGCTTTTGTAGAAAGCATTTCTGCTGAAGTTTTTCCTCATGAGTTTTTCCTCATTATAGGTATCAGCTTTTCCTCATTACAGGCATCAGTTGGCCACACAACTGCTTTACTGGGACTCATTTCACACACTAGCTCCCATTACTGTAAAATGGGCTGGTGCTCAAGGCCCGCAGCCCCCTTGGACTTTAAAAGCCTCCTGCGGCTCCGTGCTACTCACCAGCCAGCCTTTCCCCGTGGTCAGCTTGAGAATCTCACTTCCCCCGAGCTTCTGCTTCTGCCCGTAGCTGGCACGCGGGGGCTTCTCATCCAGGAACCGCTGGGCTCTGATATCGTAGAACAGCAAGGAGCCCTGTCCCGTCCCCACCGTGATGATGTGCTCGTAGAAGCTCACTGACCGAATACCTGTGTCAAGAAGGACGTGCAACACAATCAGACACATACTCTGGCTCTGCAGCACTGCTGCTGGATGTCTAATATTTTTCTGTAAGCGGAACTACTGCTACTGTTCCCCACAGCACATGATCTCCCCATCACCGTGGAGCAGTACAGGTAAATCCCGTTTATGCCATATAAATAGCAGGTCCAGTTATTTATACTGCTTCCCTAGTATAACAGGGACAGACCCTGTTATCAAGGGAACCCACAGCAAGGTGCCAGGCCAAGCAAAACTCTAGCACATACCAGCAGTTATGGTATTAGAGTTAGTAGGAGGAGCATACTTGGCTGAAATGAACTCTAAATCCAAATCTTCAACTAAGCAAGGATCCCTCTAGAATAGTCTCAGGATTCTGTATGTAGTAATTTGATTTCCTAAAGGCCCTGCCATTTCTTCACTGTTCGCTGTGCAAATGTTTGTTCTGTGTATACACGCTATAAAGCTGTTCTTTTAAACAGCCCCTCACTTTTAGTGTTTCTAAGGCACACAACCTGATGCAGGGTTATAAAGGCTAGTGTTACTCTAAGTAAGATTGAAATCCCACTGAAACAAAGAAAAAAAGCACCCAAAGAGAAAGGGGGAAATTACTACACCAGCTAAAGCCAAACACCAATTGTCACTGTACCAACCAGGTGGGATTAAAAGTCAAAAAATTGAATTTATTCATGAGGGCAGGCAGACTGTGGATTTTTTTTCTAATTGAAAAAAAGTAACTGAAGGAATTAGTGATATAGGCACTGCTAAGAGGATATTTAGAATATGCTTTCAAGAACAAGATTTCAAAGTGGTTTCTAAAGGGCTGAAGTATCTAGGATGAATCAATCACATCATACTTAAAGCACAACCTGTGCCTACAGCTGACCAAATTTAACCCACCAACACACCCAGCACTGAACTAGGTAAGGCCTGAAATATTTGAAGTAGCAAATGGAGTCTCACATTTCCCAGGAGGAAGAGGAGATGCAGTAAGGGGGAAGGGGGGGGGGTATCTGTCTAAAGGGAAGGGTTGGTCTGTGCTGCACAGGCTTTACCCACTATGCAGCCCTGCGGCCTTCAGGATATAATCATTGCTGAAGGATGAGAGAACACAAACACTGCACCAGAGACAGCAAGGGCTGCTGCAGATGGAGATCTAGAGCTCAGAGCCCTGTATTTGTCACCTACGTTTGCTAGAAAAAGCAACTCTTACAAGAGACAGACAACTGCCTTTTCATTCTGCACAGAGCTGCTGGGGTTACAGGGGGGAAATGCCAGCCCCAATTTAAGTCTTAATAAATTACAACCTTTCTCTGGCCTGCGTTTGTGTACAAGGATATTAATGATCTGCAGATAACATGGACTTGCCACATTCAGCAGGTGTATTTGGAAGAAGACAGCCAGAAGGTAACAAGTCTAGAGCACTTAAAGGCCAACCCAGATTTAGTCCAAGAATCAACAGCCTACTTTCTAGAGGTGGCACACTGCATCATGTCCTAAGGGGATCAAAATAAGTGGAAATACTCAGCATTTGGGGAAGTAATATTACTTAAGTGCCTGCACCACAGCACCAATAAGTGTTTGATGACTGCCTACTACTCAGAACATGGACTGTCCAGAAGAGTGGCTTTCTCCAGACATCAAGTAGTGTCCTAGAGGTACTACTACTAGTTGCTGTTCAAATGACAGCATAAGTTGGTCAAGCACCAATTCTCACATTGTAGAAAATCCTCCCACAAATGAAAGGAAAGGCCCTGACATCCATCTAGGCAGCACTGTTCAAACCACCAGTAACCTTCCTAACACTTGTCTATATACATCTCATTTTGATAAATTCCCTCTTGAAAAAGAGATGGGTGCTCAGAGCCAAGCTAAACAAGGACTGCAATTTATCAGTCATGGATTAATATGGATTAAGTAGCAGATTGCACTACAGTGACTTTTCATGCTTCAATATATAAGGCACAGGGAGAAGCATGTGGAACCATCCACCCTGCAAGCCCTCACATGAAACACTGGGTTCCAGCACACAGAATAGAAAAGAGAAACCACAGTTGAAAACAGAGCACTCCAATCTGCAATACTCAGTTACATTTGTGGCTTTAAAAATCACAGAGAAAGCAATCATATCATAGATTCCCAATATGATAGCAAAGCTCCACTCCCAGAGGAAAGTGCAAGAACAGACAATGTTACTAGCAATGCAGACACTGGATTTATTTTCAGATGAAGTTTTAATAATGGACTTATAGCATGAAAATAGAATGTATACATTTATAAGTATTATGTGGATGGATTAACTAAGCATGATGAAAGAGCTAATATTATCTACCACATGATTTCAGAGAAGCTCTTAGTTTGCTTCAAATAATCCTGGTGTAAAAAGGGGAAACCTGCACATACTATTGATATTTTATTCTGTCACATGAAAGTCTTCCTACTTATTAGCAGTTTGTCTTATTGCAACCTTAAATGCTATTTCTGCAAGCAAACTAAAGCACCCTAGGCAAAGTTCCATACCACTGCCTCGTTCTTTGGAACAGACGGATTTAACATTGTGAGAAGGCTGCCTGGGATCCAGGAAGGAGACATGGGCCTGTGATCCTACTGCATACACCGACCACTCCTGACCATAGGCCAAACATACATTCTCCCTGCAATATGGCAACTTTGTGGAAAGCAACTGGAAACACACACAAAAAAAAAAGAGCAAGAAGTTAATAAAATAATTCCATAAACTATGTTCAGAAAGTTTGTAGTGCAAAAGCAAAAATGCAGCTAGAAAATAGGTTTGTCACTAAATATAAGAGTACAGCAGCAACCCGATCCACAGAAATTGGAACATTGTTTCAAGGAGTAGCAACTTAGAAAAACTTAAACATAAGTACTGAGACTTTTTATGAACACAGCTAATCAAGAGTTCATCATTCTCTACATAAGAGTGAATTGCAGCCCACCCAGATCAAAAAGAGCTAAGATGACTTCCTGTCCTCCAAAATAAGAGAGTGAGGAAGTTTCTTCTCAAGTTGAGTTTTTAGGAATTTATTTCACATTAATTTTTCAAGTACTTTACAGACACTGCTGTACATTCTTCAAGCATTTGAAGTGAACACAAATTTCAGAACAACCTTAATGGCTAGATCATTGTTGAAATTCCACATCAAGCAGAAAAGTACCTTTGATAATGTATGTTCTGCTTTCCAAAGATGGAAATATCCATCTAGGGATACAGCTCCCAGCTCCTATATGTTAAAAAAAATAAAAACAAAAGAAAAATTAGCTTCAGTATGATCCATGCCCTTACAAACTCAGACTCTGAATCAGGCTGCATATTCCAGGCTGAACTCACCCATAATCCTGTATAGGCTTAAGACAAGTTTTCATTTTATATTGATTTTGATTGATGGAATGCAATACAACACAAAGGTGCTGGGTAAAATAGAAGTCAATAAAACAGTAAATAACCAAATAATAACGTAAAAAATATAAATCTTGTTACACAAACAATCAAATAATGAATCATTGCACAGTACAAGCCAAAGCTGGCAATTCTCTTCAGAACCTCCCACGCTGGATCCTACCCTGAGGTAATAATTTATTTCCAGGCACTACTCTATTGAAAAAGCTAGATGAGGTCTGCAAAGGGGAAGATTAATTATCAGCTATAACATAAAATAAATAAAGCCCACAAGAGCACAGGCTCCCTCAGAGAGCAGAGTCTTCGCTTCAAACCTTCCCTGTTCATTTAAGGGCAGAGACAAAAGCAGCAGAGGAAGAACTGCTACTCTCTACTTCCTTCAGTGGCATTCATACCTAATAATAACAAAATAAGGGCATGGGAGAGATTTGTGTTCAGCATTTGTCAAATGCCAACAAAGCACCACCAAAGCAAGTACTGGTGTCTATCTTGTGTTCAGTCACCTCATTGCTGAGCAACCCAGCAACAATTCAGCAACATTCAGAACAGGCACTACCTGAATGTTATTCATTCTTCACAAACAGAGAGAAGCACCAAGAGCAGAAGCCAAGCTGCGAGAAGTGTTTTATCTACTTCTTGCAAACTTCCCCCCACCTCATGCACACACTCCAGGCATGAGACTTAGCATCAAGCAGGAAACCTTCCTTCTGACTTTTCCTTCTCCCCGTCTAGGTCTTCTCTGTTTACTTGGGGCAGAAACAGAAATAACAGACAATGGTCATCTGATACAAATATGCCAAAGAATGAGGCTGCATTTCCAGTATACTTGACCTAAATCACTTAAAAAAATACATATGGACACTTTTAGGACTTGTTCCAGTCATCTTGCTTATCTTACTGACCTTGTTCTTATTGTTGAAAGCCAATGCTCGAACTTTGCAGTTGTCAGGATTGGTGTTCTCCTTGGGAATATCCTTCAGAGCCCTGTGGGTTATGTGGGCATACACAGGAACTTGGGAGAGAATATGCCTGGCATCACTTTTGGACAGCACATCCTCTGTGACTTCCCAGAGACCCATTGAACCATCCCGGGAACCTGAATAAACAGTGGAGAGAAGGGAGAGAGAGAGAAGAGAAAAAAAAAAAAAAAAAAAAAAAAAAAAAAAAAAAAAGCATTTTGCAATTTTTGACTTTTTTTTTTTTAAAAAAAAGGAACCGAGGTAAACAGTGTCTGAAAAAAGAACAACATGGCTAATCACATGGCTAATCTAGCTGGACATATAGAATGCTTAAGGTTGGAAGGGACCTCTAGAGGTCATCTAGTCCACGTCTAGGTCACCTAGAGCACGTGGCACAGGACTGCGTCCAAGCGGGTTTTGAAGATCTCCAGAGAAGGAGACTCCACAACCTCTGGCCACCAGTGAAAAGAGGCCAGCACCCTCCTCCTCACTGCCTCCCTTGAGGTACTTAGACACGGATTAGATCCCTTCTCAGCCTTCTCTTCTCCAGGCTGAACAGGCCCAGCTCCCTCAGCCTCTCCTCATAGGGCAGATGTTCCAGGCCCCTGATCATCCTTGTAGCCCTGCGCTGGACTCTCTCCAGCAGCTCCACATCCCTCTTGTACTGTGGGGCCCAGAACTGGACACAATACTCCAGATGCGGCCTCACTAGGGCTGAGTAGAGGGGCAGGATCACCTCCCTCGACCTGCTAGAGATGCTCTTCTTAATGCAGCCCAGGATTCCATTGGCCTTCTTGGCCACGAGGGCACACTGCTGCCTCATGGTCAACTTATCATCCACCATGACACGCAGGTCTTTCTCTGCAGAGCTGCTCTCCAGAAGGTCAGTCCCCAGCCTGGACTGGTGTCTGAGGTTATTCCTCCCCAGGTGCAGGACCTTGCACTTGGCCTTGTTGAATTTCATGAGGTTTTTCACCGCCCAGTTGTCCAGTCTGTCCAGGTCCCTCTGGATGGCAGCGCAGCCCTCTGGGGTATCAGCTACTCCTCCCAGTTTGGTATCATCAGCAAACTTGCTGAGGGAGCACTCTGTGCCTTCATCCAGGTCATTGATGAATAAATTGAACAGGGCTGGACCAAGGACTGACCCCTGGGGGACCCCACTAGCTACAGGTCTCCAACTAGACTCTGCACTGCTGATCACCACCCTCTGAGCTCTGCCATCCAGCCAGTTCCTAATCCACCTCACTGTGCACTCATCTATCCCACACTGCTGGAGCTTGCCCAGGAGGATGTTGTGAGGGACAGTGTCAAATATCATCACTGCTTAAATATTAAAACAAAATGATCCAAGTCATGAGGCTCAGAACATTGAGCTTACTAAGATCTGTCAATGGCTACAGGGTATTTGGGCAGCTACAATCACCTCAACCATTTTCAAACTGACAGCAGTCATCACAAGTGGCAGTGCTGTGCAACAGTCATCATTGCAAACTGGCACACACACAGAATAAACCTGGTGGATGGCTACAGAAGCCTGGTCAAACATTTAGTCTGACATACAAAGGACCAAGACTGACTGAGCTTATTAAATCATCGTGAAACCTGTAAGAGAACTCTTAATTAGGTTCATGTCAATTTTTGATCATTCAATTTAAGGGGCAGGGGGGATGCACTGCTGTGAATTTAACAGAAACACCTATTTTAATCCACAATTTATAAAGAATTGTATCAAGTCTAACTTAAAAATTATTTCTTTAAACCCATGCAACATCTTGTTTTAAAAAAGAACACAATGCAGGAGCTGAGGCTGAGCAAGCAAGAACTCTTTACTTTTCTAGTAACTATTAAACCCCAAGTATGGGTCAAGAGGAGTAATACTGGATGAAGAGAATTGACTGAGGTCTTCGGTTTATAGAGTAAAGGTTTAATCCAAGCCCCAATATCAATCCCCTCTGGCATCTAGACAACTCCAACTTAACTCTGCTTTGCCAGATCTGACATCTAACTCAGTTTCTTCCATACACAATGTGAAGAAAATATATTCCTTCTTTCCTCATAGAGAAGGTTTAAGACATATTTCCTGTCTCAAAGTTATTGGGGGGGGGGGGGAAAAAAAACAAACAACAACAACAAAAAAAAAAATAAGTAACCACATCAGCACCAGACTGCTAGATTTACAGTGCTTGGTACATCATCTTCAGAGAAATAAGATGAAGAGACAGATAAAAATTAAGGAGTAAGAATGTGATGCTGCAGCACTGGTGGCCCATCACAACAGAGGTGGCTTCACCTCCTGCCACTGTCACTGCCTGCTACAGGCAACCACAGAAGGGTTTCCTAATGGCACTGCAAAGCAGCAGGCAGGGCCATCCCACCACACCATTCACATGCTCCTGGCTTTTAGTGGTACATAATCTTTGTTATGGAGGAGGAAGAGCACTCAGCAGTAAAGTTTATAAAGCAGGTCAAGATGCTTAGGAGGAAGTTGTCCCTTTTAATAGTGGGGAAAATGGGGGAAAGTCAATGACTTTTTCAACTTGATAGCCCTGAAGCAAAGGAGACCATTTGCTACCCTAAGCTCCTATCATCCTGGGAATTATCCCATCTGATGCTTTTGCCATGAAAATCTTCTTGCCCGGTCAATAGAGCAACCAACAAGCTCAGCTTTAGCTTTAGGTCAAGAAGTTTAATTTCATGCTTATTGGACTAGTTAAATTCACTGCTGCACATTTTAGAAGCAGATCCTTGCTTTTTGCTTGTTGAAATTAGCACAAGGAAGAGGAATAACCAAGACCTTGGCCCACTTGACACTTTCTCAAAGGTTTTGACATCTTCAAATATCAACGAGACAACATACTGCTACATCTCCCATATCTGGCTAAACAACATGACTGCCATAGGATCAAATGCCCATCTCTCCTTCCTGCCTCAAGGCAGCGACAAGAATTTGCCTTCAGTTCCTCAATTTAAATAGAGGTATTTGATAATTCCTACAAAGCCCCTTAAGTTCAAATATTTGTTGTTCCACACTGTCAGGTACAGGTGTAATTGCAGTCTGTAACATTAGGACAATGTCAGAGGTTAGTTACACTTGCAGCCTCCTGACAAGGTCATCAGCCAAGTTCAGAAGAACTCACTTTAGCAATCAGACTTTCTAACCATGTTGAGAAATTTTCCCCTTTTCTCTCTCAAATCTGTAGATTAGCAAGTACATCCTGTCTGAAATTTCATAGAGCAGAGAGGACAGGGCTTTATTCTATTCACATTGCCCCTCTTGAGCACACAGAAAACATCCAGAGCATCATAGTTCAATCTCACATGCTGCATTTCTCTATTCTATTGGGTCCTTATCTTTCCCCAGGGACATGTAATCTTCCTCACTGTTCAGGCTTACTGACTTTTAAATGATTTTTTCAATGCAGAATTTTAGTTTGGAGACTTAACTCAGCATTTATATTAAATTGAAAAACAAAAACAAAAAAACAAGATTAGACAATTTTTTTTTCCGGGGAAGGGGGCAAAAATCAGCCTAACAATTTTAGCTTGGGGGTTTTATACAAAATAGTTTGCCATGTGCAGCCTAGCACATGGAATAATACATGGAATAATATTGTTGTCACTGAAAAAGTATATTAAAGTTATTAATGCATTAGCATATTGGTATTGTAATCATACCAATAATATTTAAGTTACACTGATAGTCCATCTAGCTACTAAAAAGCCAGTAATCAGTGTTTTAGACTACAGATTTCTGCACTAAATGCTATGGTGAACACAGACAGACTAATGGGTGGATAACAAACTGACTTCACTAATCAGTCTTTCAAAGCATTTTTCAGGAAACTGATAGTGCTCTGCTGAATTTCAAAATTATTAACTGTTAACCAATATCCCTCTAGAATTTTCTCTTCTTGTGCAGAATCCTTAGCTGTAACTCATTAACTTTAGTGATCCTATCATAGCACCATTTAATAAAGAATGGGAATTTTTCTTATAGAAAAAAAAAATCAGGACCAGGGCTCTGCAAATAAAACAAAGCACTGCCCTAAGACTGAGAATGGCTTAAATGGCCATGGTTATTTCCAGTGGCTTTAAAGGCAGCTATCCTCAAAACACACACCAAACAACCTCTTAAAAACACAGTAACAGGCAGAGTTACAAAAAAGCCAAATAGAGATTAAGCAACATATTAGGCTCAGTAATTAGAGATCAAAAGTTCTGAAGTGCTGGTCACACACAGTAAAAGGCTCTTTAAGATTTCACTTCTTATCCCCATCAATAGCTCTAACCAGGGTCCCAGGGATGGTTAATTTTTCTTTTTGCAATGGTTGTTTACAGTTTGAGGCAGGCCTTAAGAAATGAATGTTAACTGGGTTAAGGTATGAAACACATGGAGAAAATGTCTTCATAATGACACTGCAAGGCTTGGACCCCCAGATTCAGGTTCATCCCTCCGAAGTTAAGAAGTTGTCTAACTGTAGGGCACCCTTCAGACAGCAGAAAGAGACACTACTCCAGAAGGGAGAACAGACCGTGCGTGAATTTCACCTCCCTCGAGGTAATTTTTTCCTCTGATTAAAAGCAGCAAATATAATTAGGATCCCAAGTGCGGTCATTCAACTGAGGCTTGGCTCACTGTAGTGAGCCAAACTAGAATCCATTTAGGCCCCATCAACACTTCACGTCCAACCATGCTTCAGTCCCGATCAGATCCTCTTCTGGAGAGGAGCAAATAGGGTTAGTGTATGCCAACACATTGGTCTAGGGAGTTTTAATTGTTTCCCCTCTAGCTCTACAACCACAGGAAATCACAAAGGTTTGGGAACAAGGATACTGCCACGTGAATACCACTTAAACAAGGCTCCTCCTTATGCCTGGATAAATGCACCACCCTATGAGCTACCAAGTGCTCTGTTTCCCTCTAAGATATTCGCAAAAGAAAAAAAAGCTTGACTGTACCAGAAACAGCCATAGTATCACTGATCCATGCGATTGAAAATATCCAGTCCTTGTGCCCATCCTAAAAGAAAGAAAGAAAGTCAGATCCCCTGAGCTGTTATATCCTAATGAGGTCTAAAAAAGATTGCAGGTATTCTTTGAACAGTCTAGTGTTTAGCTTAGAATAGACATATGTAAAAACATCATACAGAAAAGACTAGTTTAATGCATAATGTCAAACTAAGTGTATGATGCTAAAATGCCATTAGGTGATGAAGTCAGGCCTCTCAAAAATGAATTGTCCTCAATTCTAAGGATTTAGAGTTTTTCCTTCTGAAAGCATCATTTTTTATTTCAGCAAAATAGTTGGATACTTTCATTACCTCAAATCTATATCTCCACAACAGATTAGTAACCAAAATACTGATTAAAATACTATATGACCTACAGAATAACAGTTCTACATTACAAAGATTTTTTTCAAGACTTATTTTTCAAGAATCTTTTCTTCAATTAATCAGAAACCTGTGGGCAAAAGCACAAGGCTCTAGCTCTGTTTACAAAGCTGCATAGTCACAGCAGCATGAAAATGAATTGAAATCTTCAGGGTTGAGCTTTGCTGCAGCTGTTTTTCTGCTTCCACAGAAATTCTGACCTCTGCTGTCACAGCTAATGTCTACGTGAAGTACTAATTCCAAAGGAAGGAGAAAGGAAAAAGGAGAGAGAAGGGCTTATAGGACACCACTATACCCATTTTAGCGCTCTCTTCCCCTCCCCCCCTCCTTTTTTTTAAGGCTATTTAAAAAAAAAAAGCCTCATGTCAAAAATACTTGAGTACAGCTCATAGCAAACTAGCAGAAGCCACCAGGTTAGGACGAATCCTCAAAGGCAAGTTCTGCCTTTAAAATAATACACATAAGCTACACTAGAGAAGGGGAAAACATGAATTTATATCACTTCTGCCAATTTTTCAGAGATTTTTCATTGAAATTGGTTTTGTGTCTCAGAGGTCTCCATCACAATTAGATTTTACTAGCATTTAGGAGCTTGTTAGGTTTTGATACTAAACAGTAATCTGAAACAGACCTAAACGAAGTTAGAAGGAAAAAAATCAAGATCAAGAGAGTCTTCTCACACATTTGGCTACTTGGTCATACATAATGAGAAAAATAAAACACACAACAACAAAGCTTCATTAGTAATACCCACTCAGACTTTCAGAAATTTACTCTTGACTATCAGATTCCCAAATCCTAACCTTGCTCTGACCTTAAGACCCTTCAAAGCACTAACTTTTACAAGTCACAGAATAAGCTTTCCCCAAATTCTTCCACTTACATCTCCCACACAGACAGGATCAAGCGTAGGCAGAATATCACAGAACAAAAATCAGAAAAATAGAGATAATAGAGATATAGTCCAGTCTGAACAAGTATTCTTTCCAAAAAGTGCTGCAAAAGTATAATAGAAAAGATGAGTTACTGAACTACTTCTTAAAACAAGTAAAATACCTTCCTTTCAGCAGGCTTTATTTGACTGATTCCACTTGTTCTCATCATAATGAAAGAAGAAAAAGATGTAATACAATAACTGTCAGGAGAGGTTTTCCATCACAGTCTATCTTCTTGTTCAAGAATGGCACAAAGCAAAATTCTCTTTGAGCATCCCTGAACAGTGAGCAAGACTGAGATCCATTTCAAAACAGCCAGCAACCCCAGAATCAAGGCACTTAACACAAGCTTCTCCCATTCCAGATAAGTTACCATGAAATTTTTGCTTTGACGCCTTATAAATTAATATAACTAGAGCTTACTGTTTTGAGGTGATGTACAGAGAACAGTGACTACATATAGCACCAACAGGGTGAGCATCCCTCCTTCCAAAAGATATCTAGCTGCATAAATCCTCCTGCAAAATACTGGAGATAGGAGAAAGCAGAAATCCATTCACTGTGATTTGGGCCCTATAAGCACCATCTTCACCCCACAGCTGCTCTTCCACTGCATTTAACAGCCTTGCCCAGACATGGAGGTTACAGCTCTTAGTGACTGAAGGTTCCTGTTGAGGCCTTGTGTTTTGTGTGCAGGTGTGAGCATCGGGCAGGAAGGGAAGAGAGGCCCTTCCTCATTCCAAGCCTCCCAGCACAGCTGCCCAAGACCAAAGCTAAAGACTGTGCTACACAAACATGACCATTAGCTCTCTCCTTTATCCTTGTCCTCTGAGCAGACACCATCTTTTTTCCTTCAATATTTCTTTCTAACAGAAAATCTAACCCCGCTCTCTCTATCCTCCAACTGCTGGCAGAGAAGCAAAACAAATAAAAAATACACAAGTTAAGTATCTAAGGCTAGGGCTTGTCAGTGTCACCTACAGGTCCCAAAGCCATCATGGGAAGCACTAACCAAGAAACGCATCCGTGCCCCAGGATGTCCAACAGACTCAGGAAAGCCACGGCTCCACTGCCACACTCAGAAGGGCATCTCAACAGATACAAGGGCTGGAATCTAAAAATACTGGATATTTAGTTCAGTATCACCTGTCTCACAGCCTTATATGCCATACCCAGGTGTTTGATATTAGGTTAAAAACTCAGACACTCCATGCAAGCTCCTTTCATAAGGCTAAACTCAAAGTAATTGAACTGAAAAGTTAAATATTTTAGATCTTGAACTAACAAAGACTTTCACACTTCTGCTCTGGATCTTCATCCTCAACATCATTTTCCTACAACTTTCTACATTAACACATTCTCAGAAGAAACTACAAGACACACTTAATGTCCTGCAGGGTTTTCTTCTGCTCCTGCCCCAGTCTAATTTGTCTTCAGCTCTTAAATAGCTTCTATCGCATTCTTATTTTCTCCTCCAAGTCCATGATATTACCTTAACCAAAACAGCAACTGCTCTAGAACAAGAAACTTCACCTAGTTGAGAGTTTGGCTCTGTAGTTTTCGACTGTAAAGTTTTAAGCAGCAACTTCTCCGCATGCTAGGTAAGGAACTCAACACACCATATGTAGTATAAGAATAACCATCACTTAAGAAAAAGAGAAGCGAGCCTGAGCACATTCTGATTGTTACATCAGCCAGAGCAGGACAGGAAGACAAATGATACTTGAAAGCTCCTCATTGCCCAGACAGCTTCCCTGTAAATCCAGTAAGCAGAAGCCCAACAACTGTAACATCATTCCCTTTTTCACTTAAAAAGGGCCTAACAAGAAACATTCCCTGAGAGCACAGAAAAGCAAACAACTTAAGAGTATTAAGGGCACCACAACAGAAGTATAAAATACCTGACATCTTAAAGCAAGGCTTTAAACAACTTTAACCATTTACTCAGAACTAAAGCGTACAATGGCAAAAACCTGTGAAAAGAAAAAGAAAAAGTTAACCTTCCTCCAAGCATCACTATCATTGAAATAAATATACCTGCAAATAATTCTAAAGCAGCCTGATCTGTAGGATTCTTGAGAAAGTGTTAATAGCTGTATTATAAAACTAGTCTTTATCTCAGGTGGGAATAAAGCTTTCTTTTTTTAAATAAGGCACTGTATATGAAAAAGTCCTAATTCCAACTTTTACTAGCTGCAAGAAACCCCCAACAACTTCCAAGTCATCAGCTAGGCCTATTGGTACCCTCATTTTATAGCTTTACACATGATTTGGCTCCTCCTGATAGCAAGAAGTTTGCATGTCAGCCGTAAGCACACTGTACGATTTAGTAGCTAGGAGCTACCAAGCAAGGAAAGCTCTGGTCGCTTCCCACAAGCGCCAGGAACTGCACCTCACCTGTGAAAAAACAGAACAGGCCTCAGCTACCTCACTTGCTGCTGGACAGCCTGGCTCTACACAGGAAAAGGGCTGAATGACCTGACTGAACAGAATCCATCTTCAGCTCTTCCCTCCTCATCCTCATCCCCCCCACCCCCGCCATCAGGAACTCAGAGCCTGCAAGAGCTCTGCCGCTCAAGGAGCAGGGCAGACTGGCATGGCCAGAAGAACCTTCATGATTGGGCTACAGTTTTTACACCCTGTGAGACTGCTGTGTGCTTGCTTTTATTTTGTATTGCAGCAATGGCAAGAAGTCCTTTCAGCAAATTGCTGAGAAGCTGTCCCTTTATCAAACTGCTTACAAGCAAGTTGATCAAAAAACTGCCTCTGTTGCATAACCAAGGAACTTGATTAACCCATTTGCCAGAAGTGGGGAATGAAATATATAAGAACCAGGAAAGAAAAAAAAAAAGAAAAAAAAAAAACACCTCTTCTTATGTAGAATATTGACACCAGCTTCCGTTAGCCATGCTCCTCCATCCAGTCTGTTTCCACCTGAGCTGCATTTCAGGGACTACAGCTGGGGGGGGAAGCTACCAATTGATTAAATATAACTTTCACAAACATCCTTTTTTGATTCAATGCATTTGATTTATACAAAGCAACAGAAGCTGTTTGTGCATGTGCTTTCATAACATTACATATAAGGAATCCATTTCTACATTGCGAAATGTTCTGGGCATGGTGCTGTTCATTTCAGTGCAGGAAGAAACATAGTTTGAAAGGCCTGATCTTCACATGAAGAGCAAGATTAAAAAAAAAAAAAATAGGCCTATAAAATGCCAGCACATAAGACTGATGTCCTCTGCTGCTACCCCCGCACAAAGAACTGCAGGCTGCTCTATCTTTCAGTTGATAAAGAAAATCAATCAGAGGGTGCCACCCTGAGTTATAATCTGTTTTTATTACACAAACAGGACGGATGGGATTTACAAGACACAAACTGCTCGCTCTTCCCACAAGAGGTGCTAATGATATATTCCGCACCCTGGTTCTTCAGATAATGCTGTCCCAGAAATCAAAAACATTCCAGCTATTCACATTAACATCTGAAAAAAGACCAAATACATCACCTTGCTAAGAACATAGTCGCCACCTGAGACACAATAAAGGAGCTGTGAAACTGCATCCTAGTTGAAGCCAGTCTTCAGGAACCCGCATGCTCCTCCCTACCCAGCCTCACCACCTCTCTGACAACAACTAGGGCTCAGGTACCTCTGGGGTCAGCCAGAGCCTATCTCTGCCTTCAGTGGAAAATAAACCTACAAGAAAACACATCCAAATGCAAAGCAGCAAATTGATCGCGGTGAGCGCCCAGCTGCGTTAGCACTGATGCCGGCAGAGATGAGCAGGTGGGAACATCCTGTTCTGCAGCAGTGCAGCTCCCTCGGCCAACTGAAGCTGGTCACAAAACATTAACCCTCAGCCAAGCCGGAAAAGTACATCCCTGCACTCCTTGAAACTCCTCCTTGCTAACAAAGGAGCAAGAACACAGCAATGCTTAATGGCAGTATGCTAAAACCATAGAATCATAGAATGTTTAAGGTTGGAGGGGACCTCTAGAGATCATCTAGTCCAACCCCCCTGCACACGCAGGGTCACCTAGAGCACGTGGCACAGGACTGCGTCCAAGCGGGTTTTGAAGATCTCCAGAGAAGGAGACTCCACAACCTCTCTGGGCAGCCTGTTCCAGGCCTCTGTCACCCTCACTGTCAAGAAATTTTTTTTTAAGTTTCTGCGGTGCTTCAGTTTCTGGCCATTACCTCTAGTCCTATCAGTGGCCACCACTGAAGAGGCCAGCACCATCCTCCTCACTGCCTCCCTTGAGGTACTTATAGACACTGATCAGGTCCCCTCTCAGCCTTCTCTTCTCCAGGCTGAACAGGCCCAGCTCCCTCAGCCTCTCCTCACAGGGCAGATGTTCCAGGCCCCTGATCATCCTCGCAGCCCTGCGCTGGACTCTCTCCAGCAGCTCCACATCCCTCTTGTACTGTGGAGCCCAGAACTGGACACAATACTCCAGATGCGGCCTCACCAGGGCTGAGTAGAGGGGCAGGAGCACCTCCCTCGACCTGCTGGAGATGCTCTTCTTAATGCACCCCAGGATCCCATTGGCCTTCTCGGCCACGAGGGCACACTGCTGCCTCATGGTCAACTT